GTGTCTGAGAGTATAACACAAATTCTAGCGTTCGTGTGATTTTGTTATTGAGTTGTGCAAACCAGAGTTGATTGCAATTGTATCTTGGGATTCGGAACGTCACACAACCGCCTGGCGTTTTCAGAATTAAAGATAGAGATTATCTCGCCTCTGCATAATTCATTCTTATCCTATTTCCTGTATCAATATTTTTTTTATTGTAATATTATGTATTTCACTTTACAAATATCAATTTCTCCAATTGTAGTAATTTGAGTTCCTACATGGAATAAAGATATAGAGGAGCGACATGACGCAAATTAATTGGTAGGAGTTGGATTTCAACATAGTTCAACATTTTTTTTATAGAAAGACACAACATAAATTATCTTTCAAAGTTTTAGTGTCTTCGATTCTTATAAATTTAGACTAATTTTTCTATGTAAAATATTTTCACACCCACATTTTGTTTGTTATCATTATCGCTATATTAAAACAACAGCGTCCACAAAATTTGCGACTAATACTTAAACGGCCTATATTTTCTAGTGGTTAATATCCCGTTTACACATTTTCCATTTTTATGTTACTCTCCTAGTTGCTTTTCTCTAGTTTGTGTATGTAGACTAGTTCTAAACACAAACAAAAACATGGATTTGCGGTTTTATAGAAACCAAAACCGATTATGTTTTACAAAATGATCCACTTTTATCAAATATGCAAACAATCACTTTTTATCGTCTAAGTTACTAACTTGTGGTGTTTTAGAACTCAAAATCGACTATAATTAGAAATTGATTGTCTGATAGGTAGAAAAGAAACTCTTCCAAAACCCTAGCCCAACCTCTTTTTTCTCAATTTGCCTCTGCGGCTTCCGGTGTAGCGACCGTTAGTTGTGAAAAGGCTTTTCTCTTTCCTTTGTTTCTTTTTGCCTTGTACTCTAACGCGGTCTGAAAACTTTTCTCTGAGAGATTGGGTTGGATTTTGGAGGTTTCAATCGGAATCAGAAGACGAGGTCGTGGCAATATGGATATGTGGAAGCAATAGGTGGAGGCGGCGAAGAGTGCTTCTCGGCGGTTCTTCATGTCTCTCGTCTTCAACGACTTGGAAGCGTGACTTATCTTTTCCTCCACTCGGAATTGTTCGAGATCTACGTGTGCAGATGGTAGACATTAGTGGAATTGATGAAATAAATATGGGTAGAATATAATTGAGTTGAAAAAATAAATAAATTCCTCTAAGTCTACTGCAAATTTCACCAAATTTGTTCATTCTTCCAATTTCTAGAGTGTAATAAGTTGAATTACTGTTCCACGCTGTTCCACGCTTTTTTAACTCAAATGGTGTAATTTTAGAGGAATGTTAAGTTCCACCAATTTTTATTCAACCCAAATGGTGTAATTTTAGAGGAATACTTAATTCCACCCACTTTTGTTCCTCTATATATATAACCATTTGCACCCTACGAGGTTTTGAGGGTGGCCTTGGGTTCTCGGGCGAGATCCTTTCAAGTTTCAGCGGTAGTCTTCTCCACAGCTTCCGGTCTCCCTGTGATGGCTACGACCATTCGCTCCAGTCAAGTTCCGAGGATGTTGAGGTGGGAGTATACCTTCTCTCCACTTTGCATCTTCGAGGTCAGACATTGAATAAGCTTTTCGGTGTCGTTCTCAAGTTCAAGGTTTCAGATCGGGACGGGTTTGTTGCAAGACGTTTTGCTTGACGGGGCTGAGCAGCGACAACAACTTTTTCTAGCGTTTAGATCTTATTTTCTTATTTTTCTAGGTCAAATTCTTGGCCCAATTTCTACTTGGGTTGAAACCGATTAAAACCGGTCAAGACATTTTATTTTTATTTGTATACTTTTTCAATTTTTTATTAATGAAAACCTTTTAACAAAAGAAATAATAAATATAAATTGATAATTTTCGACAATTCAAACCAATTAATAGGTGCTGAATTTAAACCAAACCCATAAAGATTGTTGGGCAGAGCTCACCACCACATCGTTAGTGTATTCTACCCCCAAAATCTTTATGGATGTGGTTTGAATCCAAATTATCCAATTTCTACCACCGAACAAACAAGTGTAAACAAATCGGAGATTGTTGTGAAAGTAAAAAATACACGCAATTGAAAACTGCGTTCACATTTACAGTAGAAGTTTTGCGTATAAGATAATCTCTTGTGGACCTTATTATTACTATGCACGCACAATTAATCTTATTTTTTACCATCTATATAAATAATATATTCGACGTTCATTTTGTTCATTCAGAATTTCGCAACATCAATAAGAAATCTTTCTCGTTTTTTCTTCTATGAGTATCTGTATTTCGTGAATATAAATCTTTCACTTATTCTGATTTTTTTTTCATAATAAATTTATTTCAATTAAAACAGAGATAAATTTATCAAGAAAAATGTGAATAATTGTTTAGAACCAAAAAAGAAGTGAAAGCTATAAAAAGCAAAAATACATCAAAATCTATAGTTTTAGCGTTTTGTTCGCAGCTTACGGTTTTAACTAATAAAAAATCGGATAATTCATGAAAATATATTTGATAACACCCCTTTTAATCCATGAAAATATGTCGTATTTTCTTTGGCCGACATATTTCAAAATAATTATCTCTGCTCACAATTGGTTTTTATCATCTATTCTGTGGAAAAAAAGTCATGAGTTCAATACTATTAATAACTAGTGATTGTCCACGTGTTGCGTGGGATTTAATGTTAACATGGTAAAATATGCAATAATTTATAATGTATTGATTATTTGTGTATTTAATATCATAATTATCTAAGTTAGAAACTAACCATTTGCACCAAATTGTTGTACAAATACAATGTTATAGGCAGAAAAGAGAAAAGACTGTTACAACATAAGAAAACATATTTGTTGACACAAATCCTTAACTTGTATGTATTTATCTATATTCACTGCGGTTTTCTAAAACAACGACTGTAAAAATCTATTGATTAGACATGTTATAGTATATTTTGCTTCTATAGAGACATCTGCATATTCTCAACAGAAATGTTGGAATGTATCTTTCTGTTTATTTCATTAGAATCTTGAATCATAATGAGAGAATAATTGATGCTTGATTGTATTTGTATCTCGTGTTATTTATCGATTTGCTGTGATATTTATCTTTCACATTGATTCATTGGTAAAATGATTATTTCCTCTAGATTTACAATTTGTGGTGGAGTGAAGTTTTTTTTCGAATATCTTGGTTAAGAGAGTTATTTTGTCCAACACAATTTTCTTTTAATTGTATTAGGAAGTGATTGGTAAATTGGCTTTAAAAACTATGAAAACATTTAATAAAACGTTATGCATCTTAAAACTTTTTTTTAAATATCACATATCATTTTTTTTTTTTTCATGTTATACATTTTTATTAAAACTTATCTTCTGTAATTTTTGTTTTAAAAGCAGAGTCACCTATATAAAAATCAAAGTTTTAAGTTTTAAACGTGTTTTTTTATAGTATACTGTTTAATTTGGTAAATGAAATATATATTTACATAAAAATTACATAAATGTGCACAAGACAGTTAAATATAATTTGTTGGAATTAATTTATATAAGAATTGCCGATTAAATTATTAGAAATAATTGATGAAATTATTAAAAGACATTAAATAAATTAAAAATCCAAATGTCAAAAAATTAGATGACACATTGCAGTTTCTCATGACTTTAGTTTTGAGGAAACCTTAAAATAGTGTTAAGTTTTAAACGTTTTTTGTATAGTATACTGTTTAATTTGGTAAATAAAAAATAAATTTAATTTTCATTTTTTAATAAAAAAATTAAAAATCAAAATGTCAAAAAATTTGATGACACTTTGCAGTTTCTCATGACTTTGGTTTTGAGAAAACCTTAAAATAGTTTTAAGTTTTAAACGCTTTTTGTATAATAGACTGTTTAATTTGG